CGTGATCCCCGAGTCCCAGGATCGAGTCCCACATTAGGCTTCCTGCATGGAGCCTGCTTCTCCCTCTGCCTATGTTTGCCTCTCTCTCTCACTCTCTGTGTCTCTAATTAATTAATTAATTAATTAATCAACCAATTAATTAATTAATTAAATCTTTAAAAAAAGACTTATCTCCGAATCATCACAATCTGAGGTAGCAGAGGTTAGGACATCAGCATATTAATTTGGGGGGAACACAATTCAGCCTCTAACACCACCCTAACCTATTGAATCAAAAACGGAAACGTGTTGGCTAATGAAACCAAGGGGATAAAGGAGGATCCCAGATAGAGGGATTCAAACCTTGGACCCAGGATGTGTCTTCATTTGTGTCACTCAGCTTTACTTGGTGTCACGTGCGTTCTCAGGCAGGCTCTCCCTTACGGTTCCAAAGATGGCCATTTCAGGATTACAACCTCTATACAGGAAGCAATCCATGTGAGAAAAGGAGCTTCTTTCAATAATCCCAGTAGAAGTTCTGAGAAAAGTCTTAAATGACCTATCTCAAATTATTCACCCATCTCAAACAAGTCACTTGTGTAGGGGCAAGTAACGTTGGCAAGGGCCACATCTGAGTCTCTAGCCTGTTGACCCATGCCATGCAAACCTCAAGACCTGGGAGTAATGGAGGGGTGTTTCTTTATAGAGTTGCTAAATAGGCAATAACAACTATCACAAGCCATGTCCACCCCAGTGATTAAAGCCATGGATTAGATGTGACAACCCATGAAGAATGTATAGAGGAAAAGAAGAGGGCCAAGGTTAGGAACTTGAGGGAACAAAAAACAAGATTCAAAGAATGCGATGAGAAACAGATGTCTTTTTTGGTAGAAGCAGAAGAGAAAGAAAGAAAACCAGGACGGTGTGTTATGGCAGACACCAAGAGAAGAGACAGTTTTAACAAAAAAAATCATGATTTGCAAGACCTTGGAGTAAAAAGGTTAATGTTCTTAATTGCAAGGAGCTCAGACACATCCTTTTTTTTTTTTTAAAGACACACAAATAGAAACATGGGAGAGAGATTGCAACAGAAAAAATAAATAAAATAAATAAAATTAAAAAAGAAATAAAAAATAAAGAAATTAAATAAAAAAGAAATAAAAAAGATATTAAAGTGACCAGGTACTTAAATTCATTCGTAAGGGAAAACAAACCCAAACACTTTCAAGATATGACTCTGTGCTGTTAAGATTGGCAAAAATAACAAGAGCTGAACAAATCCAGCATTAGCAAAGGTGAAAGGAAATAGGTGAACCTGCCAGTGGTATAAACTGGAGTACCTTCTGGCAGAGCAATTTGTCAGAATCAAACATTTAAAGGTACATATTCTCTGACCCAGCAAATCCCAGGGAGGAATTTACTATCACGAGTAAATTAGGCCATATATTTTTTTTGAAGGGTAATAATCCTGAGGTGCCTGGCTGGCTCAGTCCCAGTAGAGCATATGACTCTTGATTTTGGGGTCATGAGTTCAAGCCCCACATTGGATGTGGAGCTTACTTAAAAAAAAAATAAAAGGAAATAATCCAGAGATCCATCAAAAATAGGTTAAATTCAAAACATTACCTAACAGGTATGGAGGGGCACCAACATATTAGAATAGTCACTGGCTATAAACCACCCACACAGCCATACTGGGGGGTCCCCACTGAATATCCAATGAAAGGGAGCCCCAGATGAACAAAATGTCATAGACATAGGGACGTACGGGTTGTTCTGGAAAGTTCTTCAAAATATATTAATGTAAATATAAGGTACAGAGCCATGGGAATAACATGGATTCCATTCTTGTGCATTTTTTAAAAATTTTTTTATTTATTCATTCATGAGAGACAGACAGAGAGAGAGAGAGAGAGAGAGAGAGAGAGAGGCAGAGGGAGAAGCAGGCTCCATTCAGGAAGCCCAATGTGGGACTCGATCCCAGGACTGGATCCCGGGACTCCAGGACCACGCCCTGGGCCAAAGGCAGTCAGTAAGCTGCTGAGCCATCCAGGGATCCCCCATTCTTGTACATTTTTAAATGCATATAGAGTTGTACTGGTAAATACCTCAAAACATTTTCTGGAGGACAGCATAAGAAACTGGTGGTCACTTTTGGTGAGAGAGACCATGTAAAGAGTGAGGGTAAGAGGTCGCATCATTTAATGGGATAGAGGTAATACCATCTAACGCTTTTTAACTTTTTAATTTATTCAAGCAACAAACCATAATTGAGCATGTCCTAATGTCAGGCACTGGGGAAAATATAATACAGGAGGTAGTTACAGCTGAGGGCGATTAGCAGAGGCTCTCCAGCCAAAATTCCTTGGGTATAAATCCTGGATGCACAAGTTGGAAGGCCACAGTTAAATTACTTAACCTTTCTCTCTTATTTTTCTCCATTAAGTACATAGAACTTCTGTGGTATCTTCAGAAACTTTAGGCTTGGGGCGCTTAGGTGGCTCAGTCGGTTAACTATCTGCCTTGGGCTCAGGTCATGATCTCATGGGTAGAGGGATCGAGCCTCACACCAGGTTCCTGATCAGTGGGCATCTGCTTGAGATTTTTTTTTTAAATAGGGTTTAAAAAATTATTTTAACTTTGACATGAAAAAAAAAAAACCCAGGCCATGACCAATAATAGTTTTAAGCTTATCTAATTAAGATGTGATTGAAAAAACTTTCAAACCCCTAGAGGGGGTGTCCACCTTACAGATCCCTGCCAGATGTATGCTGTAACAGAGCATGGAGCCACTAGATGGCTCTGTCATTTTTAAGTAGAACTTAAGTCCGCAAAGATAACGCATAGTTAAGGAACAAAATATCACTAGTAGGAAGAAGGTTTCATCAAAGCAAGAAAGAATAATCTGCAATCATGGCCTCTTACTCAGAATACTTTGGACCTATTGGGTTAAGAACTAGACAAACAACAACAACCCTGCAAAACCTCAAAGTATGTAAACATAAACAATTTGTTGAAAAATAAGGGAAGGTACGACAGGCGTAAGGACATCCAGTTAGGAAAGGGGAGATGGCTTCAAATATTCTCTAATGTATTGCCATCTCCTTCCTAGCTTTTCTTTTGGACTTTCTCTTTTTTATTTAGGTCTTTAAACTTAAGAACAAACGTGAAATTGGAGGCACTATAACTTATTTAAAAATTGCTTTCAAATGTCCTGGGTTATAGTTGTCAACTTTATTAACATCCCAAGAGAAGTAACAACAACTTTGTTTGAGACTGGGAACGATAGAAAAAAAAAACAAAACAAAACCCAAAACTCACAACACTGCGCTTATTTACATTAAGAAAAATTCACATCCTTAAATCAAAATACGGTTAAGCAAACACTAATCCATTCTACAGCATTTGCCAAGGGATTGAAAGAAACAGTGCTCTAAATTTTGAGGTGAGAATAATTCTTTTCCGGTTCCAGAAAACATGAGAAAAATAGTTGCATTTTTAACTGCGGTTTGCATTTTAGGTACCACGATTTACTAGTTAAGTATCTCTGGATGTCACTTTTTAAGTTATAACAGAAGACGACGGCTTTCTGCAAAGCACAAAACTAACTTTATATCATGAAAATCAATGCGGAGTGCAGGGGAGTGGACTGCTGAATTATTAAATATTCTGAACTTCCGTCTACAATTGGCAAACAGAAAAGCGCTCTCCTCCCTCCCCTCTCCCGTAAGTGACAAACTCAGACTTGTCACCTATTAAGAACAGTATTTAGGAATAATTTTCATTGTAAAAGAAACAAATTTTCTTTTTGTTGGGAGCGAACAAATAATGATAGTGGGGCACGTGGGGTCGCCACAGTATTTTACTTGTTTCGCTTGTCCCCCCCCCCCCCCCCCCCCCCGGCAGGAACCGCATTTCAAAATTTACAGAAGTGGAAAGCAAGCCCTACGCCGTAATTCGTTGAGACCATTTTTGTAAATGAGCGCTTCTGGCACAGTTTAAATTACAGTTGGCTTTAAAATGCTAATTCCGAACCCACTTATTTAAATGTCTCTGAAAACACACACCCTTCTGTTTTTGAAGAAAACAAATCACACCGAAGGACTGCGCAAACCGGACTTAACGTTGAACAAATACTTCCCGAATGTGAACCAACACACAGTTACGCGTTTAGAGACTCGCTTTGAAAATAAAAAAAAAAAAAAAGAAAGAAAGAAAGAAACGACTTCGGTCCCTCCCATCACAGAAGCCCCCAGCAGAAGGGGACCCTCCAAGGATGCCCGTTAGTAAGATCTACCGTGTACCCCCAAGAGATGTTCGCCTCGTCTAGTGCTTTCGGCCCGAAGCCGAACAGGTGAGACCGGCCGCGAATCCAGTAGCTGCAACCACACAAGGTGCAGAAGGTAGAAACCCCCGGGGCGGGGGGGGGGGGAGCTCATCTCGGGGGCTTCTTAGAAAACAGTCGTACTGTTCGGGTTATCTTGTCTCGGTCGCAAAATTCGTTGTTTTATTTCGTTCTTGGGCTTTGAGCGCTTCGGCTGGGGATGAGGTGCTTGTCGCCTTCACCCGGGAGGCGCCGCCGGCCTGCGCCGGGCTCCCCGCTCCGCACTCCCGAGCCCCCGGGCCCCCGGGCTCCCGGGCTCCCCCGCTCCAGCGCCCGCCGAGGAGGGGCTCCGGGGCGGGGCGGGGGCGCGCTCCGCGGGGCTGCGCGGACAGGTGGGGTGGGGCGGGGCGGGGCGGGGCGGGGCGGGGCGGGGCGGGGGCGTGGAGAGCCGTGGAGAGCCCGGGCCCGCGGGGCCGCCGCCCAGCCCCGGGCCGGCCGGGAGGAGCCGCGCCGCCGACGGTTATAAGAAGCCGGCTCGCAGGCGTCCCGCGCGCCTCCGCCGAGCCCCCCGCCCGAGCACCGGTCGCCGAGGCGGGGCCGCGGGTGGGCCCCCAAAGGGATGCTCTCGCCCGAGCGGCGAGACCAGCCTCGCTCGCCGCTCGCCGCCGCCGCGCCGCACCCGCCGCGCCCGCCGCGCCCGCCGCGCCCGCCGCCGGCCGCCGACATGGCCCTGTACTGCGGCGATAACTTCGGCGTGTACTCGCAGCCCGGCCTGCCCCCGCCCGCCGCCGCCGCCGCCGCCGCCCCGGGCGCCCCCCCGGCCTCCAGGGCGCCCTACGGGCTGGCCGACTACGCCGCGCCGCCCGCCGCCACCGCCAACCCCTACCTGTGGCTCAACGGGCCGGGCGTGGGCGTGGGCGGCCCGCCCGCCGCCGCCGCCGCCGCCGCGTACCTGGGCGCCCCGCCGCCGCCGCCGCCGCCGCCCCCCGGGGGCGCGGCCGGGCCCTTCCTGCAGCCGCCGCCCGCCGCCGGCACCTTCGGCTGCGCGCAGCGGCCCTTCGCGCCGCCCGCGCCCGCCGCGCCCGCCTCGCCCGCGGGGCCCGCCGCGCCCGGGGAGCTGGGCTGGCTGTCGATGGCCAGCCGCGAGGACCTGATGAAGATGGTGCGGCCGCCCTACTCGTACTCGGCGCTCATCGCCATGGCCATCCAGAGCGCGCCCGAGCGCAAGCTCACGCTCAGCCACATCTACCAGTTCGTGGCCGACAGCTTCCCCTTCTACCAGCGCAGCAAGGCCGGCTGGCAGAACTCCATCCGCCACAACCTGTCGCTCAACGACTGCTTCAAGAAGGTGCCCCGCGACGAGGACGACCCAGGTGAGGGCGCCGGGCGGGTGCTTCCCGGCCGGGGGCCGGGGGCCGGGGGCGGCCACAGCGCCCGGACGCCGGGCCCGGGGTGGCCGGGGCGAGGGCGAGCCCGAGGACAAAGGGATCCTCGGAGCGGGGCCGTGCTGAGGGTGGAGCTCGCCCCTTACACCCACAGACCCCCCCACCCACCCCCGGGCGTGAGCGTCCCGCGCTGATGGTAGGGAGGTGTTAGTGGGTCAGGAGTAAGAACGCGCGTGGGCTCCCAGATAAGGGGCGGCTCTGAAGGGATTCCGGTGAGCTGAGAATCGCATCGCATTTCACGCCAGAGGCGGAGAGAGGCCGAGCAGCTGCAGCCGTGCAGGCGCTGGCCCCGGTGCACTTCTTCCCGCAGCCGCCTCCCAAAGCCCGCCCGTGCCCTCCGTGCAACAGGTGCCCACCTTGAGAGAGCCTTGAGAGCAGGGAGTGACACCGGCCTCGTGAGACCCCTCCAGGGGAACCCGAGAGCTTTAGCTGGGTCCCGCAAATCGTGATTTTTTGGTGCCTTGACTGTTTAGAATGTAAAAACTCCAGCTTGCGGAGTTCTGATCCAAGCCCGCAGGTGAGGAGGGCTGGGTTACAGCGCAGTATTGTGAGTGGTTTTCCTCCCCTGAGAAGCGCGAGCGGCCGGGGGAGGGGGGGAGGGGGCTCAAAAAGGAGAGAGACAAGATTCTACTAGAGGTTTTCAAAAGGAGCTAGCGACCGGGGTGGTAGGGACAGCGGTGTGATGGGGGAAAGGGAAATGAAAGGTTTCAGTTGCACACTACAGAGATATCCAGGATTTTGTGTAAATGCTCCGAATGTTCCGCCCCTGGCCGAGGGTGGTGCTTTCCAAAAGAATGACAATGTAAATCACGTGGGAGACTAAGTTTTCTAGTAGCCACATTTAAAAAAAGTAAAAAGAAACTGATGAAATTGCTTTTGATATTTTTTAAGTAACCCCAAATATTGTTCCAATACATAGCAAATATAAAAATCATTACTGAGATACTTTACTCTTTTTTTTTGGGGGGGGGTATTAAGTCTTCAGAATCCTACGTGTGAGTCCACATTTTGGGCTACCCACTTTTCAAGTGCCCAACAGGCATGTGTGGCAAGTGGTTACTGTGTTGGACAGGGCATACAGTTCTAGAAGATGCAGTTTCCCCATTTGCTAAATCACCTGAGATTATCATGTTAATTGTCATATGTATTCTTTTGGACTTTCTAAAAAGTTGGTATCTTTAGTTAGTATCATGTCAAAGCATTTGGTACTAAGGGGCACAATATAATTGTTCTTATAGGTGCAAGTACTATCGTTTTTTTTTTTTTAAAGATTTGTTTATTTATTCATGAGAGACAAGAGAGGGACAGAGACACAGGCAGAGGGAGAAGCAGACTCCTCCTAGAGAGCCCGATGCGGGACTCGGTCCTGGATCCCAGGATCACGCCCTGAGCCCAAGGCACTCAACCGCTGAGCCACCCAGGTGTCCCTAAGTACTATCATTTAGATGGTAGTTGTAAGAATAAGATTTTTTTCTGCAACTATCTGCAAAAGATGTGTTAATGAAGATAATGGGTTTGGAGGAATGTGTGTTAGTTTGTGTAGGCAACCTAACACAGTGGTTAGGTTCGAATACTGAATCTAGAGCCAGCCTACTTAAATCCTGGCTTGACCATTGCTAACTGGGAGTACTGCAGGTTACTAGCCAATCTGCCCTCAGTTTTCCTGCCTGAAAAATGAAGGCACTAATAACTGCCTGTCTCCACGGAGCTGTAGGAGCAACTGAAGTCATCGTCCCTATAAAGCACTCTACATGGTATAAGGGTTTACCAGTGCTTCCACACGCCAAAGATTCTATTTACTGGAAGTGAGAAAAGCTATTGAGAGAAAAATCCTCCAAGATCATAGATCTTTTTTACTTTAATTGTGCTAAATAGTGAGGGAAATTTTTTAAGACTGGCTGCAGACATTAAATGACGCTCTGATTTGAAATCTGCTGGTAGAGGAAAAGCAGGCAAGAGATGCAAGGCCTCTCCTGCTCAAGGTGAGGAAGGGATGGAGACTCCAGGATCTTCCTGCCCCCTAAACAATGTTTTATCCAAGGTATTGCTAAAACAGTTGGCCCATCGGTAACTTTTGTAATTTTTGTGTCGCAAGACAAGTGATTGGGTATTTGAGGTTGCCTTTTCCAGTGGAGTGCTGGTTTTGTTTTCATTTTTTAGGGGCAAATATTGTGCCCTTTCAACAAATAATAACAGATAGTGATTTTTCAGTTTACTGTGTGCCAGCTACTGTTGGGAGACACCATTTAACCCTCGCAATCAGTCTATGAAATGGGTATTATTCTTGAGCCTACTTCGATAAAGAAATGTAGGCTCACATTTAAGCAGCACCAGGATTTTGCAAGGACATGCAATACAGATCCGGAGGGGGAAGGGGTGTTTTGGGCCTAGAATCAGGTCTTAAAATTCAGGTAGCAGACACTGCCAGTTGTTCCAGATTTCTCCTTGAAGGTGAAGAAGAAAATCTCCCCACAAGGATAAATTTAAACAGTAGAGTGGGTGGACCATCTTTGTCCGCATTTAAATGGGAGAGTCTGTGCTCCTCCTTCCAGAACTGAAGCCGAGTACATGGGCATGCACTAGGTCACTCTCTAACTTGTTTCTTTTCTCCTCTCGATAGGGAAGGGGAATTACTGGACCCTGGATCCAAACTGTGAGAAAATGTTTGACAATGGGAACTTCCGTCGGAAGCGAAAGCGCCGCTCGGAGGCCAGCAGCGCCTCCACCTCCACGGTGGCTGCAGGGACCACCAAGTCAGAAGAGGGGCTTTCCTCAGGACTGGGGTCTGGAGTGGGCGGGAAGCCCGAAGGAGACAGCCCCTCGGCTTTGCTAAGGCCGCCCCAGTCCCCAGAGCCTCCCGAGGGCACCAAAAGTACTGCCTCCTCCCCAGGAGGATCCCTGCTCTCCTCTGCCCCTTGCCTCAACACCTTCTTCAGCAGCCTGAGCACCCTGAGTGTCAGCAGCAGCGGAGGCGCCCAGCGGGCCGGCCCGGGCAGCCGCCACCTAGGGATCCAGGGCGCCCCGTTGTCCTCCAGCGGCGCCTTCCCAGCCAGCTGCATCTCCTCCGAAGCCCCGCCGGACACCTTGCAGCTCAGTAACGGTGCCAGCAGCGGCAGCGGCCAGAGGTCCTCCTACTACAGCCCCTTCCCTGCCAGCACCAGTGGGGGTCAGAGCAGCCCCTTCGGCAGCCCCTTCTACAACTTCAGCATGGTCAACAGCCTCATCTACCCCCGGGAGGGCTCTGAGGTCTAGGACAACCGGCCCTCCGACTTGAATATGCACACCTGAGCTCTTGTGAAATGCGGATTGCCGAGGCAGTAGGTTGGGGTAGGAAGTGTGGGATACTGCATTCCTCCGCAGTCCCCGGGAGTGGTAGCTGCTGACTCTTCCTCCAGCCCGGCAAGCTTTTCCAGGTTTCTCTGGATGAGGGCCTTCGTGGAGAGAAAACCGCCTCAACTCTGTTTGGGACAGTACCTGTGAGCCCCGCGAGGGCAGGGACCATGTCTGTTTTGTTCATCACTGTATAGCAGGGTTATGAGCACAGATATGTCCAAGGGCCAGCTAGAACACAAAAGGATGAAGTTTACTGGGTAGGAAAAGGTAGCAGTTGGCAACTGAAGCAGGTAGGGAGTGAGTCGAGACTGACCAGCTAAAGGCTGCTGTGTGGGCGGTTATTTCCTGCCTGGCAGCATCCTGATTTTTCTAGAAGTCACATAATCTGGATTCTTCTAGGAAACCTCCATTTGCATTATTTGCCACTAATTAAAGTTTTATTAAAATCCTGCACTAGGACATCCCACAAATCCTCTGAGCTATATCCAGCTCACGCATCGCCTCTACCTAGGCTCTGCGTCTGGACCGTGGTAGATCCTAATAGCGACAAAACTGCCCAAGCGAGCCCTTGCTGCCGAGCACTGTTCCCCATGCTCAGAAGCATATTAGATCATTTAACCCTCACAACAACCTTGGGAGATAAGTATGATTACTACTCACTTGTGAGGGTTGTGTGACTCCAAGATGGTAACTCCCCCAAGGTGGTCACGCAGATAGTTGCAGAGCCAGGATCTGGTCCAGGCACTCTGGCTCCAGGGCTGGTGCTGGAAGGTTTGTTCTAGTTCTGAAAAACAAAGGTGCCATTATCCATTAGCATATTGGGGATAAGAGTGAACTCGTATCTCATTTAACCAAAGATTCTGGTTGAAATTAGTATCACTTGAGACGTTGCCCTGAGCAGCAAAGACAGACCTCACCCCTGCCTTCTGACGCTATATGCTTGAGGTTGGGGGAGGGGGGGCGACCATGGTCCTAGTTAACTTAATATCCCAGGCCTTTTAGCATGTGTCCTAATTTTTCCATTTTTAAGCAAGATATTAGAATTTATTAAAAATAGTTTTTAAGTGGAATTTTTATGGCTTCCTAATAAACCATTTGTTAAAATTTTTTAATATAATTTATTTTTAGCACTCCCTTTTACTTCTCAAGAGGTATCTTCATTTGAATAGTGTTTGTGGTCACCCTCCCAGTGCCCAGCCTAGTGTCTCTGGTCCATGGCAGATACTCAGCCACTGTTTGAACTTATCTAAGAGGTGCTAATTGAAACAGATAAGTGTGGATTTTATTGGAACAGCTGCCATTAAGATGAAGATAATGTCCTGAATTGCCTCTACCATGTTGTTGGGTCTTTGACAGGAACATTGCTGGTTTGGGGATTTAATTTTTTTAGAAAAAGGAACACAAGTACATTGTAAGAAAATTTTAACCTCTCCCTGTGTATTATTTTTTGAGACTCACAGCATTACTCTTAAATTTTTATTTTGAAGTATACAGAAAATTATTTTTAAACAGTTTATTGAGGTATACGTAACATCACCATTACTTTTTAAAATATTACGGAGAAAGACAGCCAAAGAGACTACCTACCCCTAGATTGTATGTACAGAAGCCAGTTTCTATGGATATTTTTCTATGTGAAAAATCCTATGGACTTTGATGAATATTGTTTCTAACGCAGTTCTATATTTGTAAATTAATTTATAATGTAAACTGGGACAAAAAAAATTTTTTGCCAAGAAAGTACACTGCATGCTGAGAATTACATGAAATAAACTCTTAAGTGGGATGATTTCTGGCCACTTTTAGGCATTTCTGTTTTTAGCTTCTTTCTCCTAAAGGAATAGAGATGTAAGGGGCCTGACACTGAAGCTACCATGGGGGGACTTTGATGAGAGTGAAAGCAAATGGTTTTTCCTGGATTTGTCACACCTGCCCACATCTGAAAGGCTGGAACCAAACAGTTACTCTTTGGGGATGGTCTATAGGCCTATGAACATTTTAATGATTTTTAGCAGTTACAGTTCTTAGATCAAACTAAGTGCACCAGACAGTTTCTGTTCCAGAACAAAATGGTGCTGGAAGGTCTCACCAGCTGGCAGTATTTCTCAGGTGCAGTAGCCCTCACAGGGGCCACAAGCAACCCATTACTACCAAGGAAATAAACTATTTAACTGAGCTTCTAGAAAAAAAACTGAAAATTGAGGTTTCTAGGCTAGGGTTCCCCAGCCTCAGCATGTGATATTTGAGGCTGGGTAATATTTAGCATCCCTGGTCTCTCCCTGTTAGATCCTAGAAGCACCCCCTATCCTGGCCCTGGCCACATGGGACAACCAAAGGTTATCTCCAGACATTGGCAAATGTCCTTGGATGGGGTGGGGTGGGGTGGGGCAAAATTCCCCCCCGATTGAGAACCACTGATCTAGACTGACTCATAATTTGCCAATGAAACCTGTTCCCTCATTCCCCCACACTAAGTCCCAAGTGCCAGGGCAGCTGTTGAGCCCTGATGGACTTGGTCCCTGGGTTTCTGGTATGGGACAGTTTGTCATATGAGAGGCCTTTTCTCAAGAAAATCCGTCATGAGCAGGAGTAGCCTGGCCAATGAGGCATTTCTCAGAACCAAGATCCACTAGTTTGCCCTATCACATTGGAGGTAGATTCCTTCAATATTTTAGTTGCTAATTATATATTCTTACGGTACCTTTTTTCTTGGCATCTGTTTCTATTGAGATTGAGGCTGGAATAACTTTGACCAATAATAAACTACCTGGGTTTTTTTTTGGGGGGGGTGGGTTTTTTTGGCATGGTGGTGCAAAGGGGTGGGGGAGTGTAGGCAGACATGAGGATTTCCTGGAAAGAAAGACATGTAAAAAGAACATGAGTGACATGTGTTTGGAAGTATCTAGATCTGAGTGGTTGGTACGAGATGCCAGAACAAGGACATTTATGAGAGAAAGGCGAAGAGGAGAATCTTCAATCTCCTGCTGAACAACTGCAAAGGGCAGCAGGTTGGCTCAGTCTCCACTCCCAGGACTGAAGAAGCAATGCCATGAGGAAGTCTCCCATCAGGGAACTGCCTCCTGCTGGGCATGGGATGGAGACAGAGGGGCAACGAAGCTTGCCTGTGTCTGTGATGTTTCCAGGTCAAAGTCTGCAACCAGCCCTCCAACTGGCACCAATTTCCTGCATCTGTGACACTTTCTGCCTGGGAACCAGGTCAGAAATTCTGGATCTGAGCTAGATTTCACTTTCCGTTGTTCGGGACAGGGCAGAGGGAAAAATGTGCTCCCGTGGCATGTAGATGAGTGCTCTTCATTCTCTAGAGGGGCTGGGGGCCAGGGGCTCATGAGGAGTTGCAGCCTACGCCGAGGCCATTTATAACATGTATAACATGTTATAACATTTATAACATGTATAACAAAGTGACTGCCTTCCAAGCCTTTGGGAATCTATTGTACCTTCCAGAATAAGATAGGGGCAAAGAAGAGTTTTTAAAACTAATAAACCAGATCCAGGTTTCCATTTTTGGTACTTTGAGAACCTTTATCCCATTTTCTTTTTTTAAAAAAATTAGGCTCCACACTCCGTGTGGAGCCCAAGGCGGCACTTGAACTCAGGACCCTGAGATCAACACCTGAGCTGAGATCAAGAGCTGGACGCTTAACCAACTGAACTACCCAGGTGCCCCCCCTTTTATCCCATTCTTCAATTTACTAGGAAAGGGGGCACCCGGACTTCAAGAACTGTGTGCCTTTGCACCCCAACTTCTCCAGCTCCTCAGGGTGCTGTCCAGTCCCAGGGCAAACTGGGTCAAGCTCTGGCCCTGAGAAATGTCACTGAAACCCTGCTTCTCTTCCTCCCTGCAACTGCCCAGAACTTGGAAAGAGGCTAAGTGTGCAGCATCTAACTGGTTTTTGTTTTCTTTAGCTGCTGTAGTAGCGAAACCTCAAGATTTTTAAATTTTATTTATTTATGAAGAGACACAGAGAGAGGCAGAGACGTAGGCAGAGGGAGAAGCAGGCTCCCTGTGGGGAGCCCGATGTGGGAGTTGATCCCAAGGCTCCGGGATCACGGCCTGAGCCAAAGGCAGGTGCTCAACCACTGAGCCACCCAGGTGCCCCTCAACCTCGAGGTTTTTAATGAAGAAGGAACTGCCAGTGGTTTACCTGAGGCAGGGATTTGCCGGTTTCTGGGGGCCAAGAACCGGTCACCACCGAGGCCTTGCCTTTTGTCATGGAAAGCAGTCAGCTGGGGCGCAGAGCTGGGTGGTGGACACCGCTGCAGAAGAAAGGAATTTCCTGTCAGATTTGAAAACAAACAAAAAAAAAGGTCAAAAAGACCAGCTACCTACCAAATTCCTCCAGGCTTTTTTATTCAAGATGTCAGGAGATCCCACCAAAACCCCGGGAGGCCTAGAGAGCGGGCCTTTATTATTTTTAAAAAAGGCAAACATTACAATAATAATAACTCACTAGGTGCCGGTCATTGTCCTAAAATATATGCAGATATATATTAAATATAAAATACCAATATACAACATATACACAACAACTCTATGAAATAGGCACTGTTGTTTTGTTGGTTTATTTTTTAGTTAACTCTATCCCACATGTGGGGCTTGAACTCACGATCCCGAGATCAAAAATCACATGCTCTCCCGAATGAGTCAGCCAGGTGCCCCAAGTGGATGCTGTCATTTTTCATTTCACCAATGAGAGTATTGAGGCACGCAGTTGTATAACTGGGCCATGGTCAAAAGTCTAAGTGACTGCTGCAGTTAAGTGGTGGAACTGAGATTCAAAATCCAGTCATCAGGAGTCAGAACCTACCTGCCCTTATATTACTCTCCATTTTGAAGGTGAGAAGGGACAGGCACAGAGAGGTGAAGTGACTGGCCCAAGGCCACACTTGTGGCTTGCAGATTGGGGGGCTTAGAAGCCAGGCTCCTGCCCTCCTCAGTGATGTTCCCTTGAGGGGTTTCCTTAGTATGCTCCCTGAGGTTGATTTTCGCATCTGGGGTTTCCTTTTCCCAGACACAGGATGGTAAGCAGTGGGAAGGAAAGCTGCTTTTCCTTGACCTGTCTTCCTTTGCAGGATCCGCCAGCAGCCAGGTCAGACGCCTGGATCTGGGGCCCTGAAGCTGCGGAGGAAAGCCAGATGTTGGAGACGCTGGTTTGGAACCTTGGACTCGGCAAATCCCTTTGGGTACCAGGCCCTGTGCTGGGCACTGCTGATACTAAGATGACTCACACCCACGCAGACCGTTAGCAAGCATGTCAGATGGAGGGCTAGCACCGGTGTGCACAGGGTCGGCCTGCATGCTCCCACCTGGCTGCCAGCCTCCGGTGAGGGAGATGGTGTGGATTAGCCTTCTGGAAGAGCAGCAGCCAGTTCCCCCAGTCCCGCCTGAGAGTCTGTAGCGCTCGTGCACTCCTTCCCCGTTCTGAGGCTTATGCTAGAAGATGAGGACCAGGCTGTTATTCAAAACGGAGGTGCTTCAGAAGGAACTATGGCCTAGAGGCCCCCTCTTTACGTAGGGCCACAGGCCTGGGGGCCTGGCTGGAGGGAGCTCTCTCCCAGTGAGTGGCAAGTCACCAGCTGTCAGCCCCAACCCCCGGGGAGGGAGGAGGAGAGGGCAGGAGAGGGCTTCTCCGCCTGCACTTCAAAGGAGGCCTTAGACTACCAGTGTGGTGGGGTTTTTATCTCCCCAGTTTACCTTCCTGGAATGCAGTAAGCAAAGCACAGCCTCAGGGATCCTCCCGCTCCACGCTGGGACCAGGAAGGGGGGCGTTTCCAGGCAAGAGGATCGCCTTCCCTTCTCATCTCCGAGGATGATGCCAAGGGGCCCCATTCCCCCATTCCCTAACTGGCCACCGCCAACTCTCCGCACCTGGGCCAGCCCACAGGCGCTGTGACTGTGGCCAGACACACAAACGCCCAGCGCCTCAATCTTCTCGGCAAAACGGACAAAAGCTTCCCAGGGCTGCTGAGAGAGCTAACCTATCTACTGGTATTGCACCTGTGTGCTTGCCCCACGGGCGCCTCGAGAGGGGCCTTAGCATCCACTCCCAGAGCCTCCCCTTGTCTCTGCTCAGAAAGTCTGATGGCAGTATCATCCACTTGTTTGCCCAGCAGCCTTGGAGGGCGAATATTATTAGTTAGCTTCATGTTCCAGAAAGGTAAAAACAGTACGAAGCCTGGCAAGCAGCCGGCCGCCGGGAGCTGAGGACATCTCGCAGGGAAGGGAAAAGCAGGTCTCATGGACTCCAGTCTGTGGGTCAGTCAGTGCATAAATGTACTGAATGCCAACCAATTCTTCTGCTTCCTCGGTGTGCCTCACAGCCCACATCCAAACCGGGAACAAGAAGTGCTGGCTCTCACAATTCTTTCCGGGGCACATGGGTGGCTCAGTAGGTTAAGGGTCTGCCTTGGGCTCAGGTCATGATCCTGGGGTCCTGGGATCCAGCAGGGAGCCTGCTTCTCCCTCTTCCTCTGCCTGCCACTCCCCCCGCTTATGTTTTCTCTCTCTCTCTCTGTTAAATAAATAAAATCTTAAAAAAAAAAAAAAAAAAAAGAATGTGGGCAGCCCAGGTGGCTCAGTGGTTTAGCACTGCCTTCAGTCCAGAGCCTGATCCTGGGAACCCAGGATCAAGTCCCACGTTGGGCTCCCTGCATGGAGCCTGCTTCTCCCTCTGCCACTCTCTCTCTGTGTGTGTTTCTCATGAATAAATAAATTTTAAAAATCTAAAAAAAAAAAAAAAAGTTAAAAAACTGCTTTCTAGGCTATGACCTCACAG